GGCAGCAGTCTGAACAGAGACTTCCACAGGCCAGCTGAGAGACTGTCTCTTCAGCCTGTCCTGGGTCATGCCAAAGGTCTTACCATGTGACCGAGCTCCTCACCCTATACCCTGGGTTTGCTCATGACCAAAAGTGAATGGTAAATCCAGAGCTCTGACAGCAGATGCTGCTCCCTCATCACTTAACAGTCTTATACAGTGGCCTTCTTACCGACCGTCTGTCAACCTCCAGCTCCAACCTCGCCTCACTAAGAAACATTTCTGAGACTGGAACTCCTCCTCTTGAGGAAACTTACATTTTCACAATATGTTCCCTTTAAATAAGACCATTCTTACGTACGGCTGATCTTGTGACATTAAATCTAAAACAGATCAAACAGACAATGATGTGCCCACAGCTCTGCTGTAGCTGAGATTTGTTGGCATTTGCAAATGCATTAGTATTGTTCTTTAGCTGTGCACAAGGCTTTTCCAATCATATATTTTCCCTTTAATTAGCACAACACAATATAGCAACTGGAGTGATGTTTTGCACACCGCTGCAGGTTTTCCATTCAAAATCACCTTTTGCAGTGACAATGTGTTTTCTTATTAAAATCCTTTCATACACATAAAAAAACACAGAAACAAATCACTCACACAGGTTAAACAAACAAATACAACATGGAACATTTAGAATGTGGAAACCCCCACAGACACTGATCTACATCAACCCCATGGTGTTTAGTCAGTGTTCAAGTAATGAGACTCAGTTACTCACAGTGTAACTTATTACATTTTTTCAAAGCAATTTGTAATAAGTAACAAATTGCTTTTTCAAACCTACACTAACCAGGAATAATTCAATGTTAAATGATAATATTAATATTGATATTTACAGTCTATTGTTAAACGTTAGTGTGCTGGTATACTTGAGGAGATAGCGCCCTCTGCTGGAGACATGTGCATAATGACTTCTCTGAACTCGGGCTTATTACATTAAACCAGAGGCATGTAATGAGCTGCTGCCAACAGACTGCATTCAGAATACAAATACTTTTAAAGCCTTTTCACATAATGTTGTGTATTGTGAAAACTTAATTTCAAAATGATTTTTCTTGTAAATGCAAACTGTTCCAGTGTGATTTCAGATGTCATATAAGTCCATTATTACTTGTGCAAGATATAAATACATGGGTTTTATCAACTCCAGAGGGAATATGGTTTCACAAAAGTGTATTAATAACGGCTGAGGCCAGAGGGTTCAGCCAAGTCCAATATTTTCTGTCCCTCATACTGAGATGAAGTGATCCAGTTTCCGGTAACTGTAGGATCAAGATCAGCACAAAACGGGCTTTTTATATTCACTTTTGTGAGCTTTGAAAAGGCAGATACAGGGACAGTTTTATCACCTCCTTTTCTTTACCACAAAGCCAAATGCAAGGGAACAGACAATCTTTTTATCAGGTCTTTCCAAGTGCATTATTTGTCTGGATAATACTGTGTTTGCTGCATGTGTGGATGCACTTTGTCTTCTACGGATTAAAAAAAGACTCTTTATATTTTTGACCATGTGGCAAAAACTACAACATCCCTTACCCTCAGGTTTAACCCTTTAGGTCTGGTATTAAACAACCAGGAATCAGACGTACAACAGCTTCCCTAAAAATGATTTAAACAAAAACAATGAATACACATAAAACTAAATGATATGAGGAACAAGAAGTATGAATAATTAACTGTCTATTATTATAACTATTATTATTATCATTATTGTTGTTGGATTTTTATTTCTTATTTTGCTATAGTGATTATGATTACTATCATTATGATTATTATTACTCTATCAATGATTTATGTTTTGTTATCATGAATTGAACTTGAGACTTCCAATCACTAGTGCACTTAACTTTTTTTGGTTTCCTAAATATACGTTGTTTTTCCTGACAGAAAGAGTCTTAATTTAGTGACAAATCAGACCACAACATGCCGTCTTTTTCCTATTCAATTTCTCTTAAAACACTGATTTAAAGACTAAAAATCCGTGCATATTAAATTACTGATTGAATTGGATTGAAACTGTTTGGATTTTATCCGGCACGGTGACTGAGTGGATAGCACTCTCGCCTCTCAGCAAGAAGGTCCTGGGTTCAAATCCCGGTTGGACCAGGGCCTTTCTGAGTGGAGTTTGCATGTTCTCCTCGTGTCTGCGTAGGTTTCCTCCGGGTACTCCGGTTTCCCCTACCACTAAAAATATGTCCAATAGTTCTAGCATGTGCCTCCTGTACTGGCGACCCCGCTCCCATCTCTGTGTGGAGTGAGAGACAAATGCCCAAAAAACAACAATTGTAAACCGCTTTGAGACTCAGATCTGCAGTGAAAAGGCGGTATATAAATAAAGATTACTTACTACTACTACTTATTGCATTGTTCATTTTTGTGTTTCAATTCCATCTTTGATCTGTGTCTTTCTTTATGCAGCAAAAAGTTGCACTTTATGTATCCTCTTAAGGCAATGATGCCACGAGGGCATCTATCAGGAGCAGTGGTCACCGTACTGCGCCCGAGGACCCACCTCCAGATGTCCATGCTTGTCTTGGTCAGGACTAACGGAGCTGCAGGATTTTACCTATTGTGCGTGTTTTTGGTGCTAAACATCTATGTTTAGAGATAGAAATTTATATCAAACACTACACCTACACCAACATATATATTAAATATATATATATATATATATATATGATACTGCGCAGAACCCTCAAACTCCATGACCCCTGTTAGAAAGAAATAACCGCCCGCTGAGGGTGAGAAAAAGATATAAAAAGAAAGAGAGAGAGAGAGAGAGAGTTGAAAGTTGAAAGATGAACTGTTCACATCCTCAGCTCATGTCAACGATGAAGAATTCTCTGGAATGCTATGATCTCATACTCAGATCCTCCGCCAAAACACCCTTTGCATTTTTCACTGGTGCATGTGAAGATCCATTGATGAAAGCAGAAGCATTCATAGCCTCAGTTCTGTTGGTGCTCTTTCAAACCTGTTGGGTTAAAAAATGTTTCTCAGTCTTCAGTTTTCGAAGCGGGAGTCATTGGACCTGTGACTATTATGAACTGTTTTCCAGGCATGTGATTGTTTTTCCCCTGCTCTCTCATTAAGTTCATGTGACAGTTTAAGGACTCTACTCAATCTGCTTATCTTCGAACAGTCATATTTATGTGCGTCTCCCTGGGAACTGTGAACCTCATCTGACACATCTCATCCCTTTCTTTTCTCCTATCCTTTATAATGTTTGGGCTTGTCTTATGGCTAGAGCAGCATGCTAACAAGAGGTGGGCAGAAGGCCCTAAACGCATGTTTTTAAAAGAGACATATTTACCAGGGATTTAATCAAAAACAGACCTGGAGTTGTTTTTAGAGGCATCCACTCCATTAGCAGGAACTTCTGGCACAAATATGTAACTCTGCATGTCTCAGTCCTGTAACAATATGATGTCGTTGTACCACTATGACATCACGCTCAGAGCAGTATTGTAAATGAGTAAATTTGTGTTGGCAAATTCCCAGGTTAAATTACATGTCATCGGTAATTTTGAAATTAGGAAGAAGACGTGGATTATCTGTTGTTTTTTAATATAAAATGTTATCCACAACTCAATTTAATAGACCCAAGTCTATTCGAATAACACAAGTCTGAAGTTAAAGGAGAAAATTCAAAGTCAAGTTGAGTCTTCAGAGATCTTGGTATGATGTGGACTTTTTACTTGGTTTTGTGTTGATAAATTACTGAAAGCTTTGGTCCCTATTTTTCAATGTCAAAGTAATACTTGTTCAAGTGTGTACTTCTCTAAGCAGCAGCCAGGTGGCGAGCACACCAGCCTCCGTGTATTCTGTGTACAGATCCAAACAGTGCACCTTTACCATATTTGGTGCGGCCCCTAAAACGTGCGCTCTGGAGATGCTTCAGTCCAACGCTTTGGCACAAAACCTGCCGCCCGTATCAGTGCGCGAAACTTTGCAATAACAGGATGTTAGGAGAAGTGCATATTTTAACTCAAGTATTAAATAGGTACATGTCTAACATGTTCTGTACTCTATTACAATTACAGAAGTTTTCAAATTAAATTACATTTTTTTTAACTGAATGAAGTGTGTAAAACATCATCATAACGACTCCTATTACTTTCAAACTATTACATGGCAAAAAAAGTCTACGAGTAAAAGTGTTTAAATCTACTCTAAAAAAGTATATACTTGGCTTCTACTTAATGACAGTAGATTTATTGTGTGTATTTGGTTACTTTCAACCCCTATCGCGCCTAATCTCTGCGTATAACTTAAACTATATTTGCTAAAAGATTGTGGCACTGACATTTCGCGGATGAACAACCCCAATGTCAAAGGGATTACGTCTTCAGCCTCTCCAGCAGCGCGTGGATTATAATTTCTGTGTAGCCAAACTTTGCCCGAGGCGTGGCAGTGTATGGACGCAGCAGAACTTCCCTCTCCAAATATTTGGCTGTGCGTAAAAAGTCAAGTTTATCAACGCTGCGCAGTTTTCACATTTGCGAGCCCAAATTCCAACTGTTGCGTTACTCTAAATGTCTAGATGTGTGTCCATATAATCAGTGGGTAACTGGAATTGGGAAAAGGATGCCTTAAACTAAACAACTATGAAGCATACAGCTACAATATTGTATATTGTGTGTGCTCCTTGTGGTCCCTAACTATTGTCCCTCCTGTGTGCGAGGCATCATATTTCCCCAATGAGGGACGAATAAAGCTTCTCTCTTATCTCTTAAAAATGCCACTTTATCGTCCTTACAATTCATTCATTGCGCTGTTTGGTTTCAATGCGTATTAAAACGTCAAAAAGAAAATACACTACGCAAATTAAAGGTCCTAACGGGATGACTAGTTGTTGTTTGTCAAACATAAATAAACAAGAAAGTGAAGTTCGCGTGCAGACAGCAGCCTCTATCACCCAAACATCCACAAATCCGTGCGTAAGAGTGTCCGCTCACCGTGCGCTCTGTGCTCGCTCCAAACGGTTCCGTAAGTGCGCTCTGGCTCCTCTCTTGTGCACAATAAGCTCCCACTCCACGGAAAAGCGCGTCCGGCTGCGTGGAAAGACAGAATGGATGGAGCTGGTGGCTTTTCTAAACCTCCTCCGTCTCTCCCGGAGCCAGCGCCTTAATTGGTCAAGAAGTAAAGAAGCGAGCGCGTGTGTGAGTGTGAGGGTGCGTGTGCGTGTGCATGTGGTGACGTCATGACCGCGCCTTCTGCTCAGCGGGAGGTTTTACACAGATATGAAAGATGATGTCATGAGCTTTTCTTCTGAAATGGGTCAAAAGGAGCGTCTGAGTGACGTCACATGCAGCGTTGACAGAACAGAGTTGGATGTATTTGTGGAATTCTCCTTGAGGTCATCATGGAGGTAAATTAGAGATTATTCTTCAGGTCCTTGGATTCATTTGCAGTTCAGTTCATTCATTTTTTTCCCTCTTCCAGGGCCAGGTTATGGGGGGTCTCACACTTCCTGCTCTACAGGCGTTTTACAGTATATTTATCTTTTCATACCTAAAGATTCTTGGAGTGTTCAAAAAGTGCTATGCTGCATTATTATGATTTAACCAGGATAGTTTCACAGAATCCTGCATCTCTCAGGGTTAACAGAAACACCCCTTGCCATCCTTGACGAGGACCTTCTTGCTGTAAGGCGAAGGTGCTTACCACTTGTTGCCCGCATGACTTCACCAGATGCTACCCCTCATCACCTCAGCTGGCTCCTCTTTATAGGGAGGGGCAGTGGCTCTACTCAGAGCTAGCCTGAGTGACAGAGCTATAGGGAGTGTCCAGCAACATCACTGTTTTACTTCAAATATTATAGTGGCTTTGAGGTCAACATTGATCAAAATAATTTAAGTATCTGTGTGTTAATGGGCTCTTTAGGACCGTGTGTATCTGTTCAAGTTGCACAAGTAGAGAAGCGTCATTACATAAACAAACACTAAAGATGTTTGAGCGAATCCAATCAAGCAACATCTCTGCCATATTACACAAAATAACAACATGATGAGTTTAAATACATTTGTACATTTCTCATTTTTACAACAAAAGTACATTCAGCTGGAGCTGCAGAGAGAACAGGTGTCGGGCGTCTCTGGGTCAGTCGGAGGTCTCAGTAAAGGCCACACATTTGTGGAATTTTAACCATTGGAGCTGGAGTCAGAACTTTCTCCACAAAACTGAAAACTTGGAAGAAAGCAAACAGTGTAAAACATAAAAAAATGTGAACACTGACTCTATTTTGTATATTGTGGACAATCTGTTGCAAATAAGCCCTATATGTACTTGGACATCAGTTACCTTTTGGTGGCCATGTTTAATTGCATTGTCCCTGTGAAATAAATAGATACATAAATGAATGAATAAAATCAAAATCAACATAAATAAATCAACATGGTGAGGGTCAGAACGCAGTGAGTAGTTTGCCATTCGGTCATTTTGTCCCAGAATGTTGTGTTGACAGTGCCGTGTTAGAGGGTGAATAATCATCTTCATAAATCAGACGCTGACAGACAATTAGAGTTCCCGCATCATTAAGACATAAATAAACATTCTGTTCATATAAACACTTTCATAGGACATTTTTAGCTGAGATATCAGAACAGACAAAGGATATGTGCGTTTCCATCTATTTTCTGATGTCTGAAACGTTTGTGGGAGAAAGATACATTTCTGGTTCATTATTTCGGCTTGAAAACTGAAAGCTGCACAAAGACAAATGACGTGAGAGTGTGCTCAGGGTCGGCCGCAGGAAGACTTCATTAATCACGTTACAAATTCTTCCCTTATCAGATGGCCCCGGTTTGTGGGTGAAACACGCACTGCAAAAACACTGCACACACTGCACACTCCCAAAACCTTTCTTTATTTCATTGGGATGTGTTTGGTCTAGTGCAGCACACATGCACCCAAACTGTTTGAAACATTCTTCACTTTTGGGCTTTTATCCCTGAGTGTTTTTTGAGCGATGGAACACAATCCCATCTAGTGGTAGAAATGGAAGATTGTATTATGCCTAAATAATCAATAAATGCAACATTGAAGGCGTGCAGGGGCGGACCTATCATTAGGCGCCCAAGAATCAGTTTTTCTGAAATATATACCCTATTTGGTTTTGGACAAACATATTCTAAAACTGATGGTAATCAGGGAGCACAGCCATGTTCAGCTAGAATATAAACAAACAAAGCAGAGAAACACAAAAATTGGGAGGTGAGACCATAGTCGATGTGTAGCTTCACAACCAGAAGTTTATTTAGGGCTGCCAGAGATTATGCTGTCCTCAATCTACATCACAGAAGACTGGTAAGAACTCCCTGTCTGCCTCTTGTCTTGTCTGTCTGTCTGTCTGTCTGTCTGTCTGCCTGCCTGCCTGTCTGTCTGTCTACCTGCCTGCCTGTCTGTCGTCCTGTCTGTCTGTCTGCCTGCCTACCTGCCTGTCTGTCTGTCTGTCTGCCTGCCTACCTGCCTGTCTGTCTGCCTGCCTGCCTGTCTGTCGTCCTGTCTGTCTGTCTGTCTGTCTGTCTGTCTGTCTGTCTTGCTGTCTGTCTGTCTGTCTCAATGTCTGTCTGCCTGCCTGCCTGCCTGCCTGCCTGCCTGTCTGTCTGCCTGCCTGCCTGTCTGTCGTGCTGTCTGTCTGTCTGCCTGTCTGTCTGTCTTCCTGTCTGTCTGTCTGTCTGCCTGCCTACCTGCCTGTCTGTCTGTCTGTCTGCCTGCCTACCTGCCTGTCTGTCTGCCTGCCTGTCTGTCGTCCTGTCTGTCTGTCTGTCTGTCTGTCTTCCTGTCTGTCTGTCTGTCTTAATGTCTGCCTGCCTACCTGCCTGCCTGTCTGTTTGTCTGTCTGTCTATCTATCACACTCATCCATGAAGTAGGGCCCCATCACAAAAGTTTTCCACAGATCCTAAAATGGCAAAGTCCTCCACTTTTTAGCCAATTATCAACATTGTAACAAAGAAAGGCCTGATACAACCCCACTTTGTTTGTAATGAGTATATACTTCAAATACATTAGTTTCACATTGTAAGTGGAATTACAGAAGTAAATGGACTTTTGAACAATGTTGTGTCTTCAGAATTGTAACACCTATTGGTATTTTTAATGTAAACTATTCTGCTGAGACCAAATAAGACATGATAGTGCTCCTCCGTTCTATATCGGTCTGGTATGGAAGCTTAAGTCCACAGAAAGAGTGTTTTTACAGTGCGTCTGAGCGTGTAAGTGGGGCCAGATGTTGTTGCTGTAATGACTGTGTGTCCGCTCACTGATGACATCATCTCGGAGTCGGAGTGACCTCATCAAAAACATATTTCTATTGTTTTCACATCTCTTCAATAATCAGGCTTCAGCTCACTCATATGGACTGTTTATGTTTATGTGTGCGTTGTAATGAAGATTAGGAGAGTACACCCACATGGGTCACGGGTTCATGAACCGTTTTGAGGAGCTTCTTCTTGTTCTAAAGATGGAATAAGTTGTTTTGAATGACTTGAAACCAAACTGTGGAAATGTCTGAAACCCAAGTCTTTTCAGTTGACTACAATAGTTAACTTTGATACAACGTCTTTGGATTTATTTATACAGTAAATAAAGATGACATTATTGCTTATTCATAACAGTATTAGTTGTTTTTCATGGAAAGGTTGTGCTGACTTGGGACAATAGTGGGAAAGGTTGGCAAGTTGTTGGAACCTGCATTGCTTTTCAACACAGGGATAGATTAAGAGATCCTTTATTCGTCCCACAGTGGGGAAATGTCAGTGTTGCATCACAAGTTATAGAACAGTAGGAAAGAGGAGCACACGGCACAAGTCAAGTGAACAATAGCTATACTAATGAAAATAAAACAAAATCTCTAACTCTAGCATCAATAAAAGTATAAAATCTCTATCTTGAAATGAATAAAAGAAGTGTAAAAGTTTTACATTAGTACAAAGTATAAAGTATTGTGTATTCTAGTGCAAGCAATATGTAGTTAACAGGAACATGTCAAAATAAAAGAGCCAAAACAGACTTCTGACTTTCAAAATAAGTCTTCTATGGACGATGGCAAACTCATAATCCACGTAGAGCAATACATCAATATTTTCCAATTTTTTTTTTATAAGGACAGCTTCATAAAGCAAACAGCAGCACGTGCAAAAGCGTAAACTTTGATGCTAAGAGCTTTACTCTCGTACAGTGAGATGGAGGTGATTTCAATCACCAAATTGATTTCAATTTGAGGAAGCCAAAAACAAGATTATGTGTCAATGAAGTTGCCAATATTTCTTTTGCCATTTTGAACCAGAGAAGTGAGAGTTCACCCGGCTGGTTTTAATCCAACACACATTGTTCCGGTCTGAGATTTTGGTGGAGATAAGGAACGACCGCACTCTTTGGAAAACAAACATTACATGGATTTATTTGCAGAGTAGAGCTGTTCCATTGCTTCAGAGGTCAGCGATGATGAGGAAACTGCGGGGGGCGAGGGATGGTCTGTTTTGTTTGTACAACTAGAAACAACAGTCGGTCAGAGCATTTACATGGACATAGAACTCAAAAGCTCCCAGTTTGTCTTTGATTAAGTGCAGCAGCTCAAAGAGACAGATCCGTGCAAAATGTGTGTGACGTGATGACATCAGAACTCTGAAATGTGACTTTTACTTTAAACATGTCCCAACATTGTTCCTTGTCAAAAACAGAACTAGAGTTTGTGAACTTTGTTTCTCTCCATACACAATAATATCAGGAACTTTCAACTGGTCCCTTAAGGTTTAAAAGATTCTTTAAATAAAAGCACAAAGAAGCTACCGCTGCTTAATTAGCTGACATGTTTTGGCGGTAGATTCCTGCCTTCGTCAGAGATGACACGTGATGGTGTGACGTGTCTCTTATCAGCGGTTGTTACCGGATGCGGCCAGTCTAGAAATGAAGCAGTACCAGCGTCTTCAAACTATTTTTCTTATTCAAAGAACCTTATCCTTTTAACATAAAGAAGACATAATGAACTTTTTACATTTAAAATGGTCCCTTCCCCGTCACAGAATGTTGAGAGAGCTGTAGAGATTGATGTAGTGACAGGTGAAACTCTGAGTTAGAAATTTGTTCAAAAGTTCATTCATTTTTGTGATGCAATTTAAAATGGGAAACCATGATTTAGACTCAATACATATAAATAATAATAAAAAAATACATTAGAGAGTTTCTCTCTTGAAAAGCTGAC